GTTTTAACAATGAAAAAAAAAAAAAAAAAAGGTTTACAATATCTTAGGTTTAACATAATTTTAACTCTCTTTTCAGATGGGATGGCCAAATTAAATATTACTATAGGAAAACTTGGGCATCTCTGGGCAAGATGAACTGAAAATACCACATGAACGTTTCTAAAGAAATGACTATTCTTTCCCTCAGAATAGTTTATTTAAATTTCTACTCTAATTGAACCATGATTTGTTTCCATTTTAACCAAGAATGGCCACATACTTCTTAATTTCAACTGGCTTGTGGTTCAGTGTTACATCCATTGAAGTTCCAGAAAAAACTAGTCATCCACGGTATAGATAAGTCATCCACGGTAAGATAAATAACTGTAGTCATCCACGGTAAGATAGATGCACAAGAGAACAGGATAATAGGAAGAACCCAATGCAATTCACAACTTGTTACTTGGATGATTTTGTACGATCTCATTCAAACATTTTTATTATGATTTGGACATCCCCTAATTTTTGGGGTAGGTGTTTTTATAAATTGTTCTTATTTTGATCTCCGCGTTATGAAAGCCTGTGAAACTGTTGTCTTATTGCTCATGCAGTCATGGATCTTGTCGGAGAATGACATTCAAGCCTTAATGTGGCTTAAGGAGGAAGCTGTTAAAGATTTCTGAGCAGGGATACTTTCTGCATGGATGCCACATGTCAGGAGATCTCTTGTAATTGCGGAGTGTGAAGTGACATTGAGCTCAAGGATCAGATGCTTTGTGTTTCACAGCGCACATGTGTTGACGCTGGTGCTTTTTGAGATGGGGCTAATTGTAACTTGAACGAGCTCTTCCTGATCGTTGAGGCCAAAAGTAGCTAGTTAGACTTGCATTGCAGGCTTGTTTTGACTGTTTTGACAGGCTTTTCTTTAGTTTGAGGATATTTATGCCTGCATGGTGAATTTAAAGTGTGGCCTTGAAATATCTTCCCACATGAGATCAATGATAATGTCAGTAAAAAGGCAGCACCACATTAACCTTAGCTTTTGTTAAGAAATTCTGCTTTTTAATTAATTGAATGATTTAACAGCCCCAGATTAATTGATTGAATCAGTGATGCTTTTATTTATTTGACTATTTACTATACAAGGCACCTGGTACTTTTTAGTCTGTCAACTGTTCCTGATATCATGGAAATGTTAAATACAACAAAGTTTTCTGTATTTTCCATTACAGTTCTATGACAGACTGCTTAATAAACCTTTTTTATTTTTCAGAAAGAAAAACCTTAATTAAACAGTTCTGAATAATAACAAATTATATCAGTTTGTCTTTAAAAGGAATGTTTTGTGCATGAATTTGATGTCATTTTGTCTTAAAAAAAGAAATTAAAGACTAACACTATACTTATTTTTACTATCACCATACATACATTTTGATCATGACCTTAATTCTGTTATCATGTAAAATTCATCTTTACTCTAAGTTCAATAACCATTTACATCAGGGATCTCAAACTCAAAATGGCGGGGGGCCATATCAGTGACTGACAATTCATATGAGCCGAGTTTTAACATCCTAGAGCACAAAAAAAGTGGAAACCTGATGTAATTGATGCACTTTGTCATTACTATGAAAATAATACAATTTAATAACAGGGATAATTATAATAATTCTTATGTCCCAATCAATTGTTGCTTAACCAAATGTTTAACAGATAGCGTAAAACAGCAGAATGGAGTTTGAGTAGCTTTAGTGACTATACTGGCACTTGTTCTTCTCAATATTATTCTTTTTTGTAAAACTACAACAAAGAGGAAAAAAATTGGTATAAATTCACATTTACTTTAACATGTTCAATTTTACCAGCAGTAAAATTTTACTAATGCACTTTTTTTATAGAAATCTTAGTATGCATATTAGGAAAATCTATAAATGAGATAATTTGATTCGAATATTAGCAAAATTATTATATTTACATCACCATCATATCTTGTAGGCCATGAAGAGGTGTTTGTACAACAAAATAAAGGCAGTATAAAACTGATTATAATCAAATGACCCTTGAACATTCACAAAATTAGAGCTTTAGTAAAAATAGTGCACTCACGGACATATATTTTAACATTTAAATCAGCCCCAAAAATAATCTGCATGTGTGTTACACTTGACCGCACAGAGAAATCGAAAGTGACCTGAATACATAGTACAGTACCTTAAATGCCCAGTAGGTGGGAAGCAAATCCACAAGTGTATATGCGTCTGCACAACAATGATAGTGATTCAAAAATATATGTTTTGTTGGCCTGAATCTTGTTTTTTTTTTTTTTTTGACATCAATTGCAGCCTGGAGGATGAAGGAGGTGGGGTCGCAAATGGCCCATTGGCTGGCAGTTTGAGACCCCTGCTTTACATGATATATTTTCTGTATTATTTGTAATTTCAGTAATAATAATAAATGTATACTACCTGATAAAAGTCTTGTTGTTGATTCCAGTTGTTAAAGCAACAGATAACAACTTGACTTCTAGTTAATCATTTGGAAAAGTGGCAGATGGTAGATTTTTCAGATGAATCCTCTGTTTAACTGCATCTCAGTCATCACAAATAGTACAGAACCTCAAGTATGGTGAAGAAAAAAATCATGGTTTGGGGTTACATTCAGTATGGGGAGGTGCAAGAGATCTGCAGAGTGAATGGCAACATTAACAGCCTGATGTATCAAGACATTTGTGCTGCCCATTACATTACAAACCACATTAGAGGGCAAATTCTTCAGCAAGATAGCACTCCTTCTCATACTTCCTCCACATCAAAATTCCTAAAAGCGAAGAAAGTTAAAGTGCTCCTACATTGACCAGCCCAGTTCCCAAACACGAACATTATTGAGTATATGTGGGATAAGATGGAGGAGGAAGCACTGACGATTAATCCATAGAATCTTATTGCACTCACCCAAGCTCATTGGAGTCATACACATATATGAAATATTTTTCCTCTGCACCATGACTTTCTTGTTCCTAAAACATGGCTAGGGGACAAGACTTTTGTCAGTAAGTTTACTAATACTTGTCTCTGTCCTTGCGTTCTGGTCAACTCGGTTACATTGCTTATAAAAAGGCATGACCATCTTTAATGCACTGATAGAAAAATAGCATGTGAATTGCTCCAAGTGATTTCACTTTTGCTGGTGGGAAACTCTGGAAGGCACTGCGTTATTCTTCTCATTAATTTGTATAAAATGTAAAATGGATTACGGGCAATAGATTATGGTCTCCCGCTGACAGCCAAGTCATGAGCTAAGTAATTTCTCTTTATTTTGGACAAAAAGCTAGATAATTGTTGTGCAAAGAAATAATAGCGTTACAAATTGTCAAGGAGACAAGCCTGGGCTGTGCTACTGCAGAATTCCTTCAGAGAAATTAGTCAGAAAGCAGAAATTTATGGATTTGTGCCTTATTTTATCATTACTGACTCATAACAATTTATGGTACCTATAACTGTCAGTACGTTTGTATGCTTTTTATACAGTTTCTATTCTACTTTGCAGGTTACATATAAATTAAAATACCAAGTCAAAGCATAAATAGCAGAAGTGAACATTGATTTTCCGTAACAGCAATTGTTAATCAAAGCAAAAGATACTGGCATCAAATATAAAAGCAGACAATTACGCACTATAACTATATAATCACTGACTAAATTGATGAAGAATATCCACAAGATAGATGTAAACATTGCCAAATTGTAGTTCTGACTGGGACATAATGGTTTTAAATAACTCATTGAAAAATGACAGCGAGTGCAGTATATAGATTGCAAGTGCTCCGAATTTACAGTTTGTGAATATTTCTGTTTTGTTCTGTCAATACGGTATGTGACCCACACATTTGTAGCATGAAACTGATTCTAAAAAGATGTCAGTTTATGCCAGTTTAGTTGCCATTAAGGCTCTTGTTTTTTGCCCACAATGTTTGAAAAAGGTTGATCATATTTCAATTCTGTTGTTGTTAAATTTCAGTGAATGTAATCTCCTATATACAAGGAATCTGTGGGGTCTTAAAAGTCTTAAATAAAAAAAACAAAAAACAATTGTAAAATCTTAAATTCTCTGAATTATTGTATTGTAGGTCTTAAATCATTTTAAACAGGCCTTATTTTTCCTATGTCCATGTAAAGCTACCCAATCAGACCAACACCCATCTAATCACTAACATTCTCTCTTAATAAAAGTTTCAACAATAGTTAATTTATTAAGACTATTTACCAATATGGTTTGATTATCTTCCTTAATAACATTTGTTTTTAATGTTTGTATATCCTTAAAAATGAAAGAATCCTTAGTTTTATTCATAATGGTTTTAAAGGGGTCTTAAAAAGTCTAAAATTTGACATGATGAACCCTATAGAAACCCTGTATAAAAGCATAAATAATAACATTTAAAAACACACATTTCTGTTTTAGACATGCTATGTGGTATCTGGTTTGTAGTTTAAAGCAAAAAATAGTGGAAAATGAAATTTCTGTTACTTTCAACTCTTTTACTGGTTTTAAAAATGTTATCAATAAATTAAACAACAATTAGTGGCAGAATAAAACATTCCCTTTTAAATGTAAATATTTTTACGCTATTTGACATTGTAAGATTGTTGCAGGTTTGTTCCTTTGCTATGATGTTTACAGTGAAAATAGCTTTCGTTAAAGTTAAACATTTGAAAGAATTATGCTATAGTACAGTATGAATAATACACTTTTACATTTTATAATGGGATACATATTCAAGAAAACCATGAGGAACATTGACACAAATCAGCAAAACAACAAGTTTGATAATACTAGCATAGAATATGCATATTTATACTGTATACAAAGAGAATATCTCCACAATATGTGTAAATTGTATCTCTCTATTTTAAATAAATATATATTTCTACGCATAAAAAAATATTATTTCTATGCTAAATAAATTCTGAAATAACTTTTCAATTAAAATAACATTCTATTGTTTTTTTCTTTCCCCACAGTCCTATAGAATCCTGTCAGAATTTCTACAAAGACTTCACGTTACAAATTGACATGGCATTCAACGTGTTCTTCTTACTCTACTTTGGTCTGCGCGTAAGTACACATTTCACTTAATTATAACAGAAATCTGTCCACTGAGACATTTTACCCTGAAAACCTTTAGAAAATGGTTCTCTAGATATGTTCATTCTAGCGATTCTCTGATGCTGCATTGTTCATTCTACTAAAATATGGTCACTTTGGAATAATCTAATATTGATCCGTTTTCCTTTTTTCTTTTCATCATGTTCCAGTTCATAGCAGCCAATGATAAGCTGTGGTTCTGGCTGGAGGTCAACTCAGTGGTGGACTTCTTCACCGTGCCTCCCGTGTTTGTGTCAGTGTACCTGAACAGGAGTTGGCTTGGTAAGTCTCCGAACACTCCCGTTTCCTCTTGACCCTCCTGTCAGTCCCTTCACACCATGGGTGGCAGCTCACACTACAGGTAGATCAGATAAAGATGACAATAAGACAAGGGCAAATGCTTAAGCGGGGGATTTTATGATGATTAAGCCAAGCTGCCATGGTTTGTTGTCACTCTCTGTTGCTTGAAACCCGAGAATAGCTACAAAATGTCACTGCTTAGAAATGAGACAATCTGCAAAGATGAAAGTAGGGCTGAGGTGAAGAAGAGATGAGAAGGATGACTGGAGCATGAGATGATGTCTTAGGTGAATTCAGATCTACAGTAAGTAGTCTAAAGACTTGCATTTATTTCGTAATCAAACAATCATAAAAATGTAGTTTTAATTACCTCATATGTCAATATAAATGCCAAAGAATTGCTGAGGTTGTGCAGATATGTCCATAATTATATCTATGATCAGATTTGGTAAATGCCGTTGTCATTGTTGTTGTTTTTTATATTAAGAAACAGTGCAGCACAGATTTATATATCTCAGTGTCAGTCTCAGTGATATTAGGCAGTAAGTGATGTCTGCAGGTGTCACTAAAAACAAAAGATTGTGAATTCTACAAAAGCCACATTAAAACTACTTAACTGTCACACCACATTTGGAATTCACACTTGAAAATTGCAGTTGCATTATGTATGCATATTATAATTAAAGTGTCGATGTGTGGACATACAGAGCATCGAAATGTCGTATCTCGCAGGACAACAATGCTACATAAATTAATCATAAATACAAACACAACACTGGACATAAGAGCTATTTATAAAAAAATATGCACGACTAAAATGTACTATAAAGATGCATAACTATAAACATAAAACAGTGCTTTTACATGAGACTGGATAAGGTTTAATATTGTGCAAGAGTTATTTAAGGTTAAAGCAAGCGGTGCAACCTGATTGTGGTACATTTATAGTAATTCACCTGTGTGAAGCACAATTTGAAATCCACAATGTTTCCAAGAGACAAAGAGTGATTAAGAAAGTGTCTATAGTGCAAATATGCAGCCTGGTGCAAGAGTCAGGAGGAATCTTTTTTTATATTATTATTATTAATAATAACAATATTATTATTGCCAAAAAATGCAATGGTTTGTTAAAAGATTTCTGGCATCTACTGAAAAAAATAACTAAATAAAAAAATAATTAAAATAATAACACATGTTCACAATTTAATTTTAATAAAGCCACTATAAGGTTTAAGGGATTAGTTCTTTAGGTAAACATCTTTTCAGAAGTTTTTCTATTTCTATTTGGGCTGCACGATTCTGGCTAAACGATTTGCTTAAAATCATGATCACGGTGATGACATCAGAAAATAATTATTCATAATTCTAAAGTTGAATTATTTTGTTTGAGACAAATGCTTGGCATTTATCTTTGAGAACATTATTAGATAATTTTTTCACTGGTAAAATGACCCAGTAAGCATTTATTTTCATGCACAACACTTTGTGTTCGCTATAAAAGAAAAAAAAAAAAAAAGATGTATCAAATGCTTGTCGTAATCATATCTTTAAAATGCGATATGATCATTTAAATGATGTTTGGGCTTTTGGTTTAATTTTTTACTGCCGAGTGCGGCTCATGTCATGGCTGACGTCACTTTGAGCTCACTTTGCAACAAACTGAACTTTATTTCCAACTTTATTACCTGTTATTTACAGCCTATGCAGGTTCTGCTCACTAGAGTAGACATCATTGGTGGGTAATAAACAAACAGTGAATACGTCATTACGTGAAGACAGAAATTACATTTTTGGGTGAATTATACTTTATAAATACAATATGTGACTCTTTTAACACCGTTTGTAGGTTTTTATGTTGCTGAGCAACGTATATAAAACAATGGGAAAATTTGTGTGACTGCCTTTATGCTTTACTCTTGACTGAAAATATAATTGGCTAAATTGTAGATAAGCTGAATTAAGATAGTGTGTAGGGTCGAATCGAGATGCGATCTTTTTTCAATTAATGGTGTAGTCCTAAGTTATATTTAGTAATTCTAAAAGCTTTAGTACACACTGTAAAAGTATCTTTAAATTGCCAATTTTCCCTGCTTATTTTCGCTTTTAAATTGCATTTTGGGATCTTGAACTCTCTTTCAACAACTCTTAACCTTGAAAAGTTTGAAAAAGTGACTTTTATGTATGTTTTTATTAGTTTGAAGTGACATATTGCCTATGTTATATATTATGCTGCAAAAACCTGATAATAAGCTGCCAGTACATTTTTTGTTTCTTACAAACTTGGATCTCTATATATTATCATGCTCAGCATACAGGAAAAAAAAAAACATTTTAAATATGAATATTTTTAGCTATTTCTTAGCAAATATGGGTAATACATTTTGGTGCATTTAAACCAAACAGATTTTTAAACAGATATATTTATTAAAATAATATTTTAGTCACAAAACATTTTTAGAAATGTTAAGAAAATACATTTAAATTATTCCTTAATATTGCAATAAAATTACAAACTACAACATTCCAACAGAATTGTACACATTTTTTGTTTCTCTTGATTTTTGCTATGTAAAAAAAATGTATTCAATATTTTTCCCTAACATATAAATTTGAGCAACTTTTGAACCATTCAAGTTTTTGAACCATTATTATTTTGTTAGATTAGCTCCACATTTGGCATCAGTGCTGACTAAGCTAGTGTATAAGCACAAATATAATATTGTAAAGCATCCTATAGAAAATATTAATTTAAATGAGTTTGTGGGGATTTGTTTACTCATATATGCTGAGCACTGTATTTCTTAAACCATATCTTGTCTCAAACTACTAAAATGTCAATAAAAGTCACTTTGTTAAACTGCAGAGTTGAATTTTCAACATCAAAAGTCGACAAAGTAAAGATCGACATGCCATAATGCAATTCACAGCTGTAAATAAACAGAAACCACAAATTACTGTTAATGAACAGATTTGTTTTTACAGTCTATTAAAACAAAAACACTGTTAAAATTTAGTTGTTTTTTTTTTTTGGATGCACAGAGCTAATCCAATATTTTAAGGGACCCTAAGCTAAATTCTGAGCCTTGTCAGTGTGTAAAAACCCCCAAATGACTGCAAACATTCAATCATAGGATAACACAATAATAATAATAAATAATTGGAATAAATAAAATAGCAAATTGTTAATAAAATTAATTAAACGTTTTTATTCATTTTTGTTAATTTAAATAAAAATGGCGTCATTAGTTTTTGTTAAATCACAGTGACCCTGTCTATTGCGATCGGTCGACTGGGTTCAGCACGAGACAGAATAAAATGCCCACCATGACTACAGTAACTACAGAGCCTACTGCAGGAATGCAATAAAGCAATGCAGTTAAACACCAGCATATACTCTACTCTTAAACCTAACCCCAAGTAATAACAATGACACACATTCAGTATTAATCCACACAGTGGCAAAAGCTGAAATATTTTAAAAATTGACCGTGCCACATCTGTAAGGAACAGCTGATGGTGGCCATAGCATGGTCAAACAGCAGAGGATTCCCAGTTCTGAAATGCATTTTAATCAGTAAAAGAAGCATGCGTCACTTTTTTAACTTAGTTTTGGATACGATATGTAAACAGCCCATACAGATTTAACCTGAGAAATACAGTACAAGCAATGATCTATAAGAGATAAGTGATTACAAGCCACGCAGGACGATTACAACTTATAACACACAATTAAACACATATTTTTCAAACTACACAAAACGCGGCAACAATTTTAATGACACTTGTACCGTATCGACATCAATGCGATCAAACAAAAGATCCGAACCCAACTTGATTCGTTTATTCGACTCCCGAGTCGACTATTTCACTAAAGAATCAATAGTTCTAAACAAGGTGCATTTTTAGATTTAAACCTCATCTGGATGTTTTTATTCACTTAGAGAGCTGTTTTCATTTTCAAAAACCCATAATAGGGGCTCTTTAATGATAAAACTAGCATTAACTATGGTTAATAAATGCTGTACCAGCGTTATTCATTCTTTTCTCTTACTATTAATTAATGGAACCTTATTTTAAAGTGTTAGTCAAATCTTATTATATGTTGTAACTGTATGAAGTCTTAAGGATACTGTAGTTCTGAAGGACAATGAATTAATCACTTGTGTTTTTATGCTAAAGTAAAAAAAAAAATGTCTCGCACAGCACTTGTCATTATATCATCTGTGATATTATTTTTTGTGGTTTTTATTCATTGTGGTTTGGAGGCCTTACTCTACCGGCAAACGGTGTGTATTGTTACAGAATGTGTAACAGAAGGGTCACTTTTGGTAAAAGGAAAAGTGTTTGTTTCTATGTTATGCTGATTTTGGAGAAGCCAGTGAGGCGAGTAAGCAAAGTCTGATGATAATGATTTTCCATCACAATACATTTGTGTCAGATCGGGGTGAGCGACAGGTGAGACACAACTATAGTGTAAAGTGACTGGTGTGTGTCTGGTTTTGTATGTGTGTTAAAAACAAGGTTAGGAAGCAGCCTCACTTGCTTGTATACATACACAGACAATGTAAACACAACTGTGCATAACAGTTCCACCACCTGCATCATTAGTACTTTCCAAAACAACTACCGCTCTTTTTTTTAAACACTTCAAAATCCCTAAGTTAATAATTAAACACATCAGTAGCCAGCTTTAGAGAACTGTCATCCTCTGCCACGGTGCCCTTTTTAAATAATGCATTAGAAAAGCAGAAGTTCATCACAAAAATCTGTCATTTTAATAGTGTTCCTCACAGCCAAAGCAGCAAATGAAAATCAAATAAAAGCTGCCTTCAGCATCCACCTAATAACAGCTGTTTGGCTGTGCAGCATATGTAAACAACCACTCGTTTGCTTGCGCTGTCCAAATGTTTAGGAAGTTTGAACTTGTTGAAAAGCTCCAAAACATTAGGGGGATAATTATTTGGAGCAAAACCAATTTTATA